CTCTCCCCCTTTAAATCCTTTTTCTTTTTTATTTTTTTAATATATTTATCAATAAACGTAGACGTCTAGGCAGAAAACCAAGCATAATTTCATATATCTATATATATGTAATTTATATGATTACTATCGATCCCAAATCAAGAAAGACAATGCTTTTAAAAATTCAGAATATCCGGTAATTTAACATGCTTTTATTTTTTAGATTCTACAGACTTAATTCACTTTTGTTTTTGCTGATTCTTTTCTGTTACTGGCTACGAAAGAAGATTCCACCACGATCACGAGTGATCCGGTTTACCCGGTTAGCTTCCCTAAACCGATTGGTATGTCGCACAAATCTACGGTTCCCATCAAGTTAATCTCTCAAACCGGCATAGTTTTCAAAACCAGGCCAGGATAATGTGCATGCGATTCGTAGGTAGTAGCGTGACTAGGAACGGATCATGTCGGAGGGATAAGACCACACAAGCCGGAGTTGAAGTCCGTGAACAGATCACGATGGTAATAACATAGGACCAACTTCGAACACCTTAATACTTTTACCATCAAGAATAATGTGATCCGACACTTTTTCTCTCGCTCCTTTTAGACATAAAAATCACAACCATAATAAATGTTCACGGATACACAGCCAACCTGTTAGATTCTCATGAATTCGGAAGTAAAATATCGGAAAGAAAAGCGGGTCCAATGGGGGAAAACAATGAGAATTTCGCAAAGCCTATAACCAGAAACCGATAACACACATCATTCTCGAAAGATAAAAACGTACCATGAAACGTGGAGAGACGGAAATATAATGTTTAACCGGAGTGGAGCTTGACCCGACTGGAGTAAATGAACGGGTTCTCGGCTAAAAGGGCCAAAACTTGTTTTTCTTAGACAGGAGCACTCACTCAGTCCTCAAAATCTCCAGAGTTTTCGAGGAGGTAATTGGCTGCCAGTTCCTCGTTGCGGTCACAAGCAAGGAAGGCTTCGATTACTAGGGCTCTATCAAATCCCATTGCTTCGAGCTGTTAAAAGGATGAGAAAGAGATGCATGCCAATTAGGTTAGAAAGATGCTGGAGGAAAATAGATAGTTTTTTTTAACAGGGATAGGGTGAGTACCCGTTGAATCGATTCTTGTTCTGCAGGGGTGACATTAATGGCGTGAGGCATTTCTTGCTCTTGTTGATCGAAAATATCTGCATCCCTGAAGGTTTAAACTTTGATAATCAGTATTTATGAGTTTAGAAAATCACATAAACATAGTTCAGGAGAGAAAAAATCATGCAGGTACAATGCAACCCCATTGATAGATTAAGCCGGCAAAAAAGACGGCCTACTTAGAGAAGAACCCTCACCCATCAGACCCTTCATAGGGCTCGTTTAGCAACTGAAGAAACTCTGCCTGGTTCTCTTGAATTAGTCTGAGAAGTTGGGGATTCTGCTTTCCGAGCTCCTGAAGCATGGGCTGTAACCAAGGCAAAAACAGTTTTGCTAAATAAGCTACAAGCCAAAAGAACAGAGTAAAGAAAAATCAAGCTTCCCCAACCTGAAGAATTTGAGGATTTGAATGAACCATGGAGCGCAATTGTTGGAACTACAACAAAAGGAATAGCAAAAGATGAATGCATAGATGAAATACGCAGAAGATAAAGCAACTGACTGCGATACTACAAGAAACAGCTGGACACAAAGACACCTCCATGAAAAGCGTAAAATAAAATTCTAACAAATACATATGTCATCTGTCAGATCATCATTCATTCAGGTAATGGCATGATTATAGTGAGAGATCAACATCGTCATATGAAGCCAAGTAGAATTAAAACCTGGTCATTGTTTCTAAGAAATTCAAGTGTTCCAAGATCACCAACTCCGGCAGCAGAAACCGCTTCCTGGGAAGATTAAGCCATAGCACGATAAAGGAAATCAGCATCCATCAACTCTTGTGGGCAGTAAAAGCACCAAGTTCTTACCTGAGGAAACATATTCAAAGGGGATGCATTAGGCCCTCCAGAGGGAGGAGCAACAGGGGCTGCAGCTGATCCAGCCACTGGCACAGCTACCTCAGCCGTTTCAGGAATTCCCTGAAAGTAAACCAAAGTTCATCAGCTTCATTTGATGGTGAACATTAAGGGAGCAATAGAGATATGAGGCATACAGAGTACAGGTAATCGACTGCTCTCTCAGGGTTGTTGTAAGCAGCACGAAGGGCACGAGTAACTGTCTCTTTATCCCAGCTACCGCCACCCATTTCCATTATTTGTTGTACCATTTGCTCAAGATTACTACCACTAACTAAAGTTGAAGCAGCTTGACCATAGGTGTCAGTTGGAGCCCTGCAGCATGGGATTAAATGGTGTAGATCATATGTATAAAATAGAACCCTAAGGAAAACATATACAAAAGGTCGGCTTGGACAGATCTCCAAAAACCATGAAAGATACAGAAGCCGGCACTTGTAAAAGAAAATGGAAAAAACAGGAGAAGAGAGAAACTCATCCTTTTCCAATGAAACTTCTCAGCTTAATCATAAAACTTACGCTGTTTGTTCCTGAGCAGGAGTAGGATTCAAAGCTGGTACAGATGTAGGCTGGCTTGCTGGTGGAGCTGCAGGCTGGTTTGTCAAACCAAGCTTGTATTAAACAATAGATGCATGCAACAAGATGCTGATAGAATATCTCCCGAACAACATTAGATTCGCATTAAAGTTACCTTGGTAGAAGAAGCAGTATAAGCAGGCTGTGATTTAAAAGAAGAGTTTTTAATTCAGAAAAATCAGACAAACCAAGTATTGCACAAAAAAAAAATGAAGAAAAAAGAGTAAAGCTACCTGAGCAGAAGAGGTTCCAGCTGACCCGGCAGTTTTGCTCTACAAATTAGATACAGACAGGCAAAAAAATTATCAACGAATGTAATGGCTAAACTCTATCTCTAATTGTTCATATGGAGAAAACAACCACAAACTGAAATATAAAGCAACATACATCCAAAGACACCAGTTCTTCAACTTGTTATCTTGTGGTATTCAACCAAAATACCCACAATTGGGGAGCTTTTTAAGTTCTCCAGCAATATTCTTTAACATCAACAGACTCAATTATCTTATAATTCACTTATCTAAAGCTTCAACCGGATGATCCCATACATTACCTGGTAGAATCGTGCTTGCTTGTTTAAGGCATAAATTGTTTTTCCTGTACGTAGTAATGGGGAACTAAATCGAATCTCATGCGATGGTATATGCAATGCAACTGGATTCTCAGTAAACATACCCAGGATGCTTAAAGCATCTTATGAACTATCCATTTTTCCATAAGCATGCACCTCATAGCAAGTGGAAATAAGACTGATTAAAGAGATAACAAAATAACAAGCAACATTGTAGATATTAAGCTCCCTGAAGAAACTAATAAAGTACCTTGCTAAGCATGACGACGAGGAAACCTTCCTCAGTGACCTTATTCTCCGCCAATGTAGTTTCATCTTTCAAAACCTTCCCATTGTGAATCAGCAACTGCTGCCCACAAGGGTAATTATCTTTTCCTTGCGAATCTTCAATGTTCTTCTTCACCGCCATTATCTTTGGACAAACAACCAATTCCCAGATTTAACCAATTACAAACTTACAGAGGAACATAGCTCATTCAAACCAAAAGAGATTCATGTCAAATAAAGGATATCGGAGCCGCAATTGAGACATCTCTCAAACATTTCACAACAAATATTCAATATAATTTCTTGAACTATTGTTCCCCAAAACTTGGATGGAAAATCAAAAGAACATCCGATTGCGGAAAAAATCAGATCTTCAAAATTGGAATATCTCAGAATGAAACTCTGTATCAAGGATGCTAGTGCCGCAACCCATCAACGTATATTGCAGAGATTCCCAGCTTAGCATTTTAGCATACGAAGACATCAAAAGCTTTCTGTTTACACATATAAAAATTGCTATTTTGCACGTTCGAAACGAACAAAATGGGAGGAGGAGGGGGAGGGAGGCTCACCGTGTCGGAGGGCTGAACCCTAATTTCGAAATGACGGCCCTTGAGAGTCTTGACGGTGAGCTTCATGTCAACAGATTTGGCGGGAGATATTACCGGCGGCGGAGATTCGGCGAGGGAATAGAGAGACCTAGAAAACAAGCGGTGTCAAGGGATCGATAGCGAAGCCACACGAGTGCCGTGCCGACTGTAGCAAACAGTCCCTATCACCACCCCCAGCGTTTCGGATTTAAGCCGCGGCAAGAACTTCCCCCACGTGCCCTGCACGTGACACACGCTCAAACAAATATCTCTCCCAATTTCCCCATTTATCAATTTATGACTCCTCACCGTCAATATCAACGTCGTCCTAAATCCAAGTTTATTTGGAATTCTTTTTTTCCACTCATTTCGGTTTTGCATCACATCTTTCGAGATTCGCAACACATCCAAATCATTCCTAATGACACGTTCCTAAGTAAATCTAGATGTACTCTTCCTCGTTTCTTCACTTATATCCTTGTACTCTCTAATTTTCTAATCGCAGCGTCGAACGATCTACGTTTTACATGTCCAAACTACCTTAAACGATTTTTCCGTAATTTTTCTTCTATGGTTATGACTCCTAATTTTTCTCTAATACTCTTATTCCGAATTCTGTCCATCCGTGTATGTCTGCACATCCATCACAACATCCTCGTCTCGACCACACACATTTTGGACACATGTTATTCTTTTGCCTCCCAACATTCACTACCATACATCAGTGCGGGTCTTATGGTTGTACGGTAGAATTTTTCTATCAACTGTATGGGAATTTTGCGATCGCAAAGGACCCTCGCGGCTTGCCTCCAATTCATCCATCCCACTTTTATTCTATGACTAACATCTTCGTCGCAACTTCATCCTTTTGGAGGATTAAACCAAGATATTTAAAATGTGGATTTTGAGGTACTAATCCTCCTTGCAAGTTAATTCCTATATCACTAGTACACCTTCTATTAAAATCGCAATGCATGTACTCGGTTTTCGTTCTACTAGACCTAAAACTCTTAGTTCTAATGTACTCCTCCATAACTCTAATTGTCTATTTATTCCTTGTCTGGACTCATCTATTAACACGATATCGTCCGCAAACATCATACACCACGATACTTCTTTCTGTATATCCCTAGTCCATTCGTCCATGACTAACATGAAGAGATACGAGCTTAAAGCGAATCCTTAGTGCAACCCTATCGAGATGAGAAAGTCTCGTGTGTTACCCCTACTATTCGGACACTAGTGGTCGCACCTTCATACATGTCATTCAATATTTGTATGTATCTCACCACCAATATTCCTCCACACTCTAATACCCACCATAAAACATCTATTAATACTCAATCATAAGCTTTTTCGAAAGCTTTTTCGAGATCGATAAATACCATATATAAATCTTTTTTCATATCTCGAAACTTTTCTATTAAGTTACGAATGAGAAATATTGTTTTCATGATAGGCGTTCCGGTCATAAAACCAAATTGGTTTATGGTAAGAAAAAGTAATGATCTATGGTAAGGTGGAAGTGAATAATTAATATTGTAAATAATTGTAACAAAATCAAATTTTGATATAAAATTTAATGAGATAAACTAAAAAAATACCAAATATCCTACTTAAACCACAAAAATTATCTATTTTAAATTCAAAATTGTTATTAAAAAATTATCAACTATTAATTTTAAAAAAAACATCTAACTATATAAATTATTCAAAAATATATTTCATTTTAAATTTATTATAAAAAATCTAAAACAAAAAAGCATCAACAATCTAAATTATTAAAAAAAATTATATTTTACATATAAAATTTCGTAAATTTATACAATATTACATACAAAAATATTATTTATTTAAAAAATAGATATTATATCTTATATAATAATTTTATATATAAATTATATACTATATAATATTTCAATTACTAATTTTTTATTAAAAAATCAAATTGATATATAATGTAAGATAGTTGGTAATTTTTTTAGCTTATCCCAAAATTACTTGTTTATAGTTTTTAAAATAAAAACCAAAACCAATAAGAAAAAAAAAGAATTTTTTTAACAATAAAAGTTAAGATCAGAATCCAATTCGAAATAAAGCCGAAACAAATTAAAATCGAAACCAATATAAAAACAAATGTTTCTAAAATTGAAATAGCGGAATTCAAATATGATTTACCCGAATATGTTACCTACACCTAGTTTATGTACAGAAATGTAAAATCATAAAATGCAAAAGCGTAGGTAAATTATATTTAAACATTTTACAAATATTTCGGAGACATGGAAGTAGGAGACATATATTAAGCCATACATGTCTCACACTGGAACAAGTCATCAACGGGAAGCATAATGACCACTGAGTCCAGTTCTAAAACCGTAAAATCACACCCAAATATACAAATTCAACGTTATTGAACGTTTTCAGTTTCATAGGGAAATCTATAGGAGCTTAGAACTCGCGGTCGGGGAAGAGGATAGGGGCGACAAGGGACCAGATGTAGAGAGCGGCAGTGGCCCAGCCGGTCACAATCCGGACCCAGACGGATGGCCACCCTACGTCCACCAATCTCCCACTCTCACCAACTGAGGTCGACCACCCGGTTAGAAGCATGGCCGAGTACATGCTAGCAAGGGAGAAGATGATGTGGAAAAAGGCGTAAGAGTAGGTCACAGGTTTCGACTTCTCTTTATCTTCCTTCTCTTCTGCCTTCCCGTCTAGTGGAAGGAGTGGCTTCTCCGAACCTTCACCAAGAACAAACTTTGTTAAGAAACTCGAAAACTTCTTGAGCTATAAATCATGGGTATGGTTGTTTTGCTCGGTAAAACGTGATTGGAAGGGTTCGGATGAAACATACCAGCACGAGGGGAACTGGGAGGGGATAGAAGAGTGGTGGAAGATCCAGCACGGACAGCAGAATAAACGACGGATAGAACAGTAGTGAGGAGGCCAATGGTCATGGTCCCCGTCGAAACAGCTTTGGCGTGCTTGTGGAGGCCATTGCACTCGTAATCCCGAGGTTCACTTGCAAGTCCACTGTAGCAGAGGTACATGCAATACATGGATATAACTGATGCTGGTAGAATGCTACCACCGACCTGTAAAACGAGGTTATTCCAAATGAGAATAAAATTAACACAACTAAATAATCTTATATGCAAAAGCGAAGAAGAAATCAAACTTACCGTGGGATGCAAAACTACTACTGCAAACACAAACACAAAGATCAAAGTCATGACAATAAAAAAGGTGTTGAGTCCACAGTCGTGTCCAGATGGTGTAAACCAGTGGAAGAGAAGCCCGGAGAAGACAAATGTTGCCAGATAACAGACGAGAGAAACAACGAGCAATGCAACATACCTATATAAACGTAATAGAACAATGAAATATTAGTACTTAGATTATCAGATGCGAGAATCAAGAAGTATAAGATCATTAGTAGGTCGACTAACCAGAACTGCTCATCATATCCAACCCATGTGTCATTCCATCCATGAACAAAATCCAAAAGAAGCACAACTTGAACAAGAAGAAAAAGTCCAGCACCAAATTTTGAGATTGACTCTGCAAGATGACAATTATCATTAGTCTTAAGCTCAAAGACTCATTGGTCACTTGAAAAGGAAAAGTCTAATTCTTGAGAATACAAGCAATGATCAATGGAACTTACCGTAAAAGCTGATAATCTCATTTGGAAGGAAGAACATGAAGATGACCAGAATGCACCAACAGATTACTTTCATCATCCACCCACCATGGTGTATACCATCACGAGGGTCTTTCTGATTTTTCACGCCAACCATCATGACTGACAAAACAGTGAAGAAGATAAAATTCCCCAAGCTAACACGTAGCACTGCATCTGTCTCAAACCATTCTCTGTCAGGCGTCTTATGAAAATGGTTTATCCCTGCACAATTAGAACATAAGTTTCTTAGCCCCATGGATCGACATACCTCACTAGACAGCATTCAGAAACAACTACAAGGGCATAGGGAAAAACTCACATGGGAGCTTCTCCATGAGAGGAGCAGCAACTTCACGGAGAATCCATGAAACGATCAGAGAAAGTGCAAATAGCCCACAGTACGCAATTCTAGCAGAACGACGGCTTATGCCCGAAACCACAGTACGGCAGGCATCACATGCACAAGCCGCACAGCACGACGCAAGACAAGAAGCTGCCCACATCCTCTTTTTCCTCCAAGATCAAAGCCCTGATTTAATACTCAACTGCTGGGTATGACAATTCAGAAACAAGAAAGTAGAGGCAAAACAATCAGTTCTCAAGTAATCTAATCACTGGCTAATCATGACCCAGAACCCTGATGTCTCAATATAGATCGCAACAAAATCGTTTTTCTGCGTGGGCAGTAAAATTAATCGGATTTAGCTGCGCGGATATAAAATTAACCAATTTCTCCTACATGGGTTGCGAAAATTTCAATGATCCGGCAATCAAATTTGGCGAAGACAATCAATTACAACTGAAAATCAACACATCTCTAGAAACACGAAGAATAAGCTTTAGAACCCTAGAACAAGAATCGATTAAGCTAATCTTTGACATGCTTCGAGACGAGATAAAACTTGCCAATCTGAATTGGAGAGAAGAAACATCCAGGGATTGATCAGAAGAGGAATAACGAAAACATACCTCGCTCTCGATCAAACCTAAAGCTTTCTTTTTCCTTCGAAGACCGATTCCTTCAATTTATCTGATTCTCGCTGTATTATAGGGACTTTTACGAGCAGAAAAAGGAAACTCTGGCAAGGGCTTTCTCCAAACGCAACAATTCAAATGGAGATAAACCCAACTAATGCCCACTGGGCCCACATAAGTCTAATGGGCCTACAGGAGGCCCAATATGAGGATCTTCGTTCGTGTTCTTGTCTCGAGGCGTGGCAGCGAAGGAGAGAGATCTTCACTCGGAAACGGAGGTAAGGTAAGAGGACCAGTTCAGTGGAGGAGAATCCCGGCGAGATTTAAGGTTGTTTTTGTCGGTTTTTGGGTGTCGGAGGAGACCGAATCAGCTGATGTTCTTCGGATCTCTAGTTGATCGTGATCTCTTCTGTTACACTGGTTCGTCTTTCATGCTCTTCGTTTTCTGCTTCGATCTGTGTGGATTTCGTCCTGATGAGAATGTCTTTGTGTTTCGTTGGTTCTCGCCGTTGAATTTCTTCGTCATTAGTCGTCGATTATGGTTGATTTTAGAATTTATTCGCGGATTTACTTCTTTCATGTACCCTGGCCATTGTTTTGGTTTCGGAAACATTGCGATAATTAGAGATTGGATTTCTAGTTCTGTTCTCTCTCTTTCAGTGAAAAACAGCCTAGCTTTTTAGATTTGCCATTGAAAAATCTATCCTTTTTAGATCGGTAGTAACCCTCGTGGGAATAGATCAAGGCTTCATCGTTTCATTTCTGAAGCATTTTGCCGTTTCGTGTGTTGCTTTGTATTGGTGGCTTTGATCTTGAAATTCAGCTGTCGTGGCAGTCAAATGTATGAATGTTTTCTTATGCAACAGTTAACCAGATATCTTGTACCCGTTTGGATCTCCTTCCCAAAGCCTCACTTTCTTACAGAAGCTTGGGTCATTTTTGCACAAATGTTACGAAAGAATCTCAAATTCTTGTGCCATTGCAGGTTGGAATCGTTTCCCGGAACCATGGTTCACGATGGGATCGTATCGTCTCCCGTGAGAAGGTCTCAATCTCTGAGGAGGCAGTATGAGTTGGGAAGCTGTTCTACGGTTGTCCAGAGGCATCGGTTTCTCCTAACGGCCCTCACCCTTTTGGCATTCCTTTGCACCGTTTACATCTACTTCGCCGTCACCTTAGGTGCTCGGCA